ACCCAAATCTCTGTGGACATCTGAAATGGAGAAGTCGAAGGCCGCGAAGTTGGTAATCAATGTTGAAGAGACATCTGAACGTAGAAGCAAGAGTAAATTCGTGGTTAGCTCCAAAAAAACACCACCTAATAAGCAATCGGCATCTCTGACCGCGAAGAAATTGCGCTCGAAAAAGGTAATTATAATTTTAGGTGTTAGTTATTATGATTTTATTGGCAAACATGGTGATGGAATTCATGTATTAGAAGCATTGAAGTCTTATGTAATTTTTTCGACATTTAATCGGCTCTAATCGTCCGATTAGGGTTCTTGGTACCAATATTGAGTGTGACCTAGATTTCTCCTGAAATATCGCTTAATTACATAACAAAAATTATGTCTGTGACTTCGCCATTATCAATATGTGACCAAGATGTCGATGTGTGACAGAGGGAGCTATGAATGTGTGGCCTCTAATAATTCACCTGATTGTTAACGTTGCTGATTTATATATCTGTGACTATATTCATAATGAACAACAATGCCTACATTGACCAAGATGTCAAACTGTGGCTGTTGCTTATATGGTGCGTGGGTTGAATGCACAACAAAGTATATAGCACTACAAACAAAATACATAGGAACGTACGTCATTTATCAATTGATCAATTATCTGTGACCTCGCCATTATCTATATGTGACCAAGATCTCAATATGTGACCAAGGGAGTTATGAATGTGTGGCTTTTAACGATTCACCTGATTGTTGCATGTGACCTGATTGTTGACAGTATTTATTTATATATCTGTGACCGTAGGCATTAGGAACAACAATGCCTACATTGACAAAGATGTCAATATGTGATTGTGGTTTATATGGTTTGTGGCTTGAATGCACAACAAAAATGTATGCCTGTAATTAGTTTGTATCATGATTTGACAACAGTTATATGGTTTTATTGCGTAACAATGCATACCCATGTGACCTCATTCAGTTGAATATAGAACATGATACTCATGGCATGTGACCATGATAATCGTCTGTGACTAAGTTTTGTTGTGAATATGACGCCTGGATTCATAGCATTACACATGCCTGTGACCATATTATTTTTGGTTATACAACAATGTTAATCTATCTGTAGCCAGAGTACACAGTTGCATACATCTAATTGTATGTGATTTCCCTACATTTACTTAACATTGGATCTTTCTAAACAATTTTGTGCAGGATTGACAATTTATCATACTGAAGGAACAATGGTTCCCAAGCAAGATTACAATATCGATCAGCAAGGGTGTGCTTTCAAGTATTCAAGCAAAATTATCTGACCGACAGAAGCTCATTATGAAGGGAACATGCTTTGCCCATTTTCTCGACTCAATGAAATTGTGGTACAATCGCAATTAATTCACTACTTCCTCGACTGCAATGAAATTGTGGTAAACTTATTGGTTTTCTAATCTTTTACTGTAATGTAATGCAGATTGAAATATGTGACCTGGTACCTACTGAAGCAGAAATGGTAATGCCATACATGGATGGCATGTAACATAACAAAACAATTCAACCAAAGTTTTCTCGGGGCAGCTGTCGAAAGGAAAGCAGGAAGGAAAAGTCTGTTGACCCTTCACACATGAGTGAGGAGTCAGTGCCTTTGGTAATGGACAATGGTGTTAGACAGGCTCACATTACAGATGATGATGATGATTTTGTGGATCCTCCATGACGATGTGAGGTGATATCCCATCAGGAGACACCTCGTATTGATGAAGGCCCTTCAGGTCCCCAACATTCTCTAAATGAAGAACAGCATCATGGGATTCAAGGGAGTGCTGTAAGATTATTTTTATTTCTGTTCAAATGTTTTCAAATTGTGGTCACAGTTTACTTAGTATTAGTCACAGTTCACTTAGTACTGGTCACAGTTCATTTCTCATGGTCACAGGCATCTTTTTGAAGGTCACACGTAACTATTTATCTTAATCATGTTTACAGGTGCATCACGATTTAAATGTGCAAATATCAGAACTTAAGTCACAGAATAAAGTATTAACTGTGGAGATGGACGCCATCAAGTCATAGATGTTGAGCCTCAACCCCGATCAGGTAAAAAAGATATCTGAAATCATCCTAATGCAAGGACAGTTAAAACATGACATGATCGAAATTAGGACGAACATGAATTCCTGTCTGAATCCGTGACTGCAGTGATCTCAAGCTCCATGGATGAGATATTCAGGTGATTCAATGATAGGAAAGGTTGTCCAGTTAATGAGTATGAAGACACAGAAGCTGCTGTCGAAGGATTCGAGAAGATCGATGAAGTAGGTACATGATATGTTCAATCTATCTTTCACTGAACATAGTTACGGATTTCATGTCTCAAATTCTCCAATTTCACATACAGGTGGAAAAACTGCAACCTCTTGTCGACAGGAAATGGAAGGGAAAGGTCAACCCAACTGAAGAAGTTGTCTTTCCAAGTAGTCTTAAACCGCCATCATTTGACCTGGGTATCGGATACACACAACCGGATGATTTACAGTCTGCAGAAATTCAAAAGAAGGAAGATGCTGTCATATCTGATGTGATCACGGCATCCCAAAATGTTGACGAAGAGGTATTCGAATTATTTTTTCGGTCTGCTAGTCACACAATGTGTACATCGAATTTATGCAAACTAAATATGACCTTTTACTAGTCACAGGGATCACCAACTACTGAACCAGCTTCTGAATTACCAATTAAGTGGGCTTCAAGGCCTGCGAGGACACTGCGGTCTCCATTTGTTGTCGGGGAAGGAAAGGTATCGCGGCATGACGGTAATGTTATTGTATTTGAAAATTATAAAGACCATGTTGAAGAAGTTGATAAATCAGTATTCTTGGGTTGGTTTCAGAGAGGGTATAAACCCAAAAACAGGTATGTACATTTTTCTTATATTTTCAAATACACTGGTCACACAGTCACAGTATCTTGACAGTCAACTTTTGGCAACAGAAAAAAGTTTAATGAGCACGATGACCAAATTAAACCAGCCTTTAGTATTGACTTATACCCAGTCGGTCACAATACATGGTTCCACCAACTGATAGATGCTGAAACGTCTTTAAGCGGTTCGATATGGTATCGCTTATGTATCTGTTCACTACTCATTTCCTTGTTAACCAGTTACACAACATTAAGAACCTCATACAATACCATGCACATACCGTTGAGCAGCCCACTGTCATAGAGTCATAACTTTTTAATGTTGTACCTAACTGTGTCCTTCATGTTCAAACAGCACATGGATGCATGCTTCTACTATATTCGCCAGGTAGCAAAATTTGGGAAAGTAAAGTTTAGAGCTATAACGATGGACTCTCGGTTCCAGAACAAGATAAAAGATATATTTTCTACTTTCCAAAAAGACCCTCAAGTTCTGTTGTCGAAGAGCGGCTTGATTAAGGCTGTCACAGGTCACCTAATATCCCTAAGCACATCTTAGGACGATGTAGACTATATGTTCATGCCACTCCTGCCCACAAACAAAGCTCACTGGATGCTAGGTTTGGTAGAATTTAGAAGCCATACTTTGATGCTGTTCAATTCAGTTGGAAAAACTTATCGTGATTGGAAGGTGCTAGAAGGTATTGAGCCCTATGTGAAAGTATTGCCTGCTCTTATGAAAGCGTTGGAAATTTCGAAAAAAGACCTCGATTACAACGAATCTGAATGCAAGCAAATGAAGGTGACCATTGACAGTACCCTACCTCAGCATATGAATGGGTAAGTATGTGACCAACTATAGTAGTATAACTTGTAAATTAATTAATTCATAACATACTATATTGTGTTCTTTTACAGTCATGACT